CTACTCAGGCTTTAACAGAGCTCAGTAACACTGAGATTAATCAAGGTCCTCTTTAGAGTTCATCTAATGAGCATGTTTGAAACATGCCATGCACTGATTTTAAAATAGGTAATAAACAAGCATTGATGGTTTTTCTTTTGAAGATCGTAGTTTTTTTTTTTTTACTTACTCTGTAAGTATTCTAAAACTATTCTCTTAAAATATAAAAGGTAACTACTTTTTCAAAATGTAACTTGGACTAAATACAGATACTTCATGTCTGTATTCTGAATACATGTTCCCAATATTTGTATTTAGCTACATTCCAACCCTGAAAAACACAAAATGAAAAGTAATTAATCAGATACTTATACTTGTGGGAGTAAAGTGCTGCCCACTGATCTGTAGCAAAAAATAGATAACTGGCAGCAGTGGGGTGATTGTGCAGTTGTGGTTAACCAACGAGCTAACAATGCAGTCAGCAAGTGGGCTTAGTCACCTACCTTAAACAGGAAAAACACAAAGGTGAACATAATTATATCAGGTAATTGTACTCATGGAAGTATTGTGCCGCACATTGATCTGTATCAAAAAAGTAGAGATAACTGGCAGGGTTGGTGGTGGTAGCGTGACTTCTTTGCAGCTGTGGTTAGCCAATGAGCTAACATTGTAGTTAGCAAGCTGGCCAACTTGTTTACCACAAACAAATAAAACCACAAAAGTAAAAATAATAATGCAGTCTCCTGACTAACTGTGTACCCTGCAGTCTCCTTTTCATAGGTTTATTTATAGCCAGTGGAGAAGAAATGTTTAAAGGTTTGTGCTTAAGCACTTCTAAAACTAGCATTCATTGCATTTTGGAGGTTCAGTGCTGATATATGAAGGCCAACCACTCAAAGATCTACACAGCCAAAGAAGCAGCACTAATGGTTGAAGATTCACTCATCAAAGACATGTATTCGCCACAGAGGTTTGGGATGCAAAATCAATCAATGCAGCGAATTACAGTGAAATACTGCTAATGTGACTGGGCCTTAAAAGTAGAGAAAATGCAAACATGTGACGTAGGAATTTCTCAGCTGTTCTTTCTGAATAGTGGGAGGCTGGTGCCTTTTTTGGTGCATTTTTGCTGCAATTGCAACTGAATAAATTAATGAATGAATAAATAAAACAGTAATAAACCACTCGTTTACACACACACACACACACACACACACACAAACCTCTAAGCCATGCTAATGCACACAGTCGCATGCCAAACATCAAATTAATCTCACAAGCTTTCAAAACACACACGCATACCGTTGTATGCAAAGTGAAAATAAGTTAACACATCCTGTATAGAGAACAAACACACATTTTAACACACAGTTGCTGTTTACAGCCTGAATTTAACATACTGGGAAGAATAACAATGTGGCCTGTGCAAAAGTTGTGGCACATTTTATAGTTTACATTTTATTTGTTTCCCAATATGATTAAACTCAGTAAACAAACAGAAATAGAGTAAAATTTGGAGAAAAATACCATATTTAAGTTTGTTTCCTGTGAAGAACGTGTTTAATTATTTACATTTAGAACACCAACAAAACATGTAGTTCGACCAAGGGGGACTTAAACTTTAACATAATGACAGAAACATGGAGCAAAGGTCAAAGGTCAAGTGCTTAAAAGAATGAACAGAAGCCAAGAACTAGCATAATGCTAAGCTAAGAAATGCTATGATCACTCTGTAGAGTGTGTAAAGTAATGTGTCAGCACAAACACATCAGTCCTCATTCCTGTTCAAAGACTGGCTTACACACGAAAAAGCCCCTCCTGAATCAGTCTGTTTTTTTCAGTGTTTCTGTCGAGCCAGCTGCACAGCAAAACCACTTCAAGACCTACGTTACTCATTTAATGGTCTGAAGGTTAAACTTTCATTTTGGTGTACATTAACTGACTCAGACAGAACTTTACAAGCTAGAAAAGCAAATAAAACTATAGTGAGTAAAACCACAATTCAAGAAGCCTCTGCTGTGCTTACACTGCTGTAATTAGAGTTTCTGTCTGAAATTGCAGGCGGTGTAAGGTTAGGGCTCTGAAGTCCACATACATGAGTACAGACTCATTCATCTCTGTGATTTCTTCAGTAAGACAAAAAAAGAAAGGACTCCTGAAGGAGAGGAGAGTGAGTGAGCAAATAAATAAATAACACTGTAATTTTTGTTTCTACTCTACTGCAGGGGTGGAAATGGTACAGAGAAATGGAACTTAAATGAAAAGTTGTGTCAAAATCTCAATTAAAAGTGGAAGTGGAGCCAAAGATAAACTTGAGAGAAAGTAAAAACTCTACATTTAAATATACTCAAGTATGTAAAAGTAAAAAAGTAAATATTTGAACAGATAAAATAAAGATGCTTTTTTAAAATTACAGCAACTTGGCTGGGCACAGGCTGGTCATTCACCCTTGTCTTAACCTTTTCAACAAAGTCATAAAATTGACATAAAAAATTCAAACTTAGCATGCATACATGGTATCAACAAGTGTCATGTGGAAACTAATGGGTGGTCCCAGTCCTCACACATAGATGAATTAGCAGAATGGTGGGCAGTTGGTTGGATGATTTATTAAAAACAATGAATTCAAATTTAAAGGAAGTTGACTGATCGGTGAGAGAAACAGAGAAAAATCTCCCAGTCTTTGAGATTTGTAACGAGAGTTTTGGAGGTCTGAATGAAAATGTAAGGAATAAAAAACTGTTCTCTTGGAAATGTAACTGAGTAAAAGTACAAGTATTCAATTTCAATAACACTCTTACACCACAGCATCCTTAAATCACTCCTTTATGCTTTTGACTGAGCGTGCATAAATTCTGTCCTTGAAACAAATCCCAAATAAGAAAACATTGATGAATATCAGAATCTTCATGAAATGGGTTTTAGGAAGAAATTTCAGTTGGTGAACGAGGCCCATTAATATTAATATAAAGGAAAAACTTTCTTATATTTGAATCGAGGTTAATGGAATAATATTTTATATACAAGTTATTTTGAACCATTTCTATTAGTCATTTGTCAAAGAACGTTAACATGATGTAAAAGACTGGCATTTTCAAATTCTGTAAAGAAAAATCAAAAATGATAAAATTAGAGATGCAAGGCTCGTGTTCCAAAAGTGATGAAATGAAAGAGGAACAACAAAGTGAAATTGACTGTATTTTTTATTTTATTTCATTGTATATTTCTTGTGCCTGTTTTAAAAATACACATTCTCTATCATTGTGCAGTAGTTTACTCTCTCAGAGTCACGCTTTGAATGCACACTTGTGTAAACAACGTGAATTTCTGCATCTGCGAAGATTTATATCTCTGCTCACCGCTGATAGAAATCTCATGAGAATTTGTTCTTTCCTTCTTTCCTTCTTCTTTCACAAGCATCCATCACAAGTAGCTTAGCTAACAGGCTACTGCACGTAGGTACTTGAACATAAAGCAGTGTGGTAAAGACTCATAATGAAGACTTGAAGGACACACTGTGCACATGCATGAGCCTGCATGGACAGGCCTGTGTGCGTGTGTGTGTGTGTGTGTGTGTGTGTCTCCCTCAGGGTCTTGGAGGAGCCTTACACTCATATTTCAGCAACTACAACACCTCTGTTGTGCTTTGTCAGGAAAAAGAAGAAGGAAAAATAATGCAGATGGTACAGACAAGGACCAAGGAGGAAAGATTAAGAGGGATAATAATTTCAGGAAAGACAAGAGAGAATAGGTGGTGTAAATAATGGCATGGAAATATATAATGAACACACCGCTCAGTTTTCTAAATGTCTGCATAACTAAATGGTGAAGATATAAACAAAGTCATTCAGAGTGGTTTGGTGTGAAATGCTCTGTTCTAGAGAAACTTACCAAGTCATAATTGTTCACAGTGGTGGTGATAGGCACCAGATGTCTGAAGTTTAATTCCTCTAAAAGCTTTCTCACAGAAAGTTATTACATTAAATAGTTATGAAAACACTGCCTGATGCCTGAGACACTGTTTTACGATAGTTTCTATTTTTTATTCATTCATTGTAAGGCGCTGTAAGGCAAAATAGTCCCCCCAAAACTTTTTTTTAGATTTATCACTATTTTACCCTCATCAACATTAATTCCAAAAAGACACATGTAGGTTCACTGGTGGTTTTGGATACTATAGAAAATGGTATGTAAAATGGTTCTGCTTCTGTTGTACATGTCAAGACTCCTGGTTCCTATCACCACCACTGTAAAGAAATAGCCAGGGCTCACTAGCAGACCCAAAGTTTTATTACACATTTCTATAACCTATTAATAGCTCAGCCAGTTTGCATTGAAGTCCCTGTAGTTACTGAATAATACGCCTTAGTGTGTAACAAGCCTTGGATTTCTATTTTGCCACTTTCCTGGTTTCAGACTGTTTTGACTCTTGCCTTGAAATTTAATATCTTCATAATGATATTACACAGTAGATAATTTCTTCTGTGGTCAGAAACTTATCAATGATAAATGGGGTAGAGAGGCTGATTAATTGTGTCGCAACAGATGGGCAACTCTCTGTACTTGTACACCTACATAATGGACCTATAAGGTAGATGTTTCTAATAAAGTGGCCAGTCAGTGGAAGTATAAGGCAGGTGTTTTCAGTAAAGTGACCAGTGAGTGGAAATAGTAGATACATGTTTCCAATAAAGTGGCCAGTGAGTGGAACTACGAGGTAGGTGTTTCTAACGAAGTGGCCAGTGGATGGATGTAGAAAGTTGGTGTTTCCACTAAAGTGGCCAGTTAGTGGATGTAGAAGATAGGTGTTTCTAATAAAGTGGCCAGTGAGTGTATGTACAAGGTAGGAATTTCTAATAAAATGGCCAGTGAGTGGATGTAGAAGGTAGGTGTTTCTAATAAAGCGGCCAGTGTCTGTTTATATACACACAGCAGGCTTTTTCCGCTGGCTGTTTAAAGTGCATCTCTGTGCCTTTATATGAGTGCACTAGCTCTGAAGCTCCGCCTCAGCTGAGCAGGACGAGCTGCAAAGAGAGACTGGCAGAAACACACACAGACTCGCACTCAGTCACACACACGTGGAGCAGAGAGCAGCTCACACCGCAGGGAAACAGCACGTCCACAGACTTCTACAGAACCAGAGACAAGACAAGAGAGAGGAAAGATAACACAGGAGACAGCTGGAGTTTAGCTGGGAAAAGAAAGTGAGTAGCAATAGCTGGAGTAGCACTGATAACACTAGTTGCACTAGGAGCGTTAGTAATAGTATCAGCTGTAAAGGTGGGAGTAATAGCAGTAGTGATATTAGACACTGTACTAGTATTCCTAGTATTTATATATCAATATCACCTCAAATAGAGTTAGTAGAAGTAGTAATAGTAAGAGTAGAGCATTAGTACACTGTAAAAAATGATTCAGTGTTTCAACTTAGTAAATAGTACACAAACTGGCTGAATTAAAATTTGTTTTGAACTTTAAATGATTTATTACAGATCATTGTTTTGTTACTATAAGATGTTCAATGAACTTAAAGACTTAAGACAACCAGTTTACTAACTTTTTAAAAGTTAAAGCATTGAACCATTTTTACCATGTAATATTATTAGTATTTTTAACTGTGTATTTTGTAGTAGTAATAGTTTTAGTAGTGTTAGTTATGGTAGTATTATTCAAATAGTATCAGTTTCATCAATATCAATTGTAATGCTTGTGGTATTATTAGTAACAGTAGTAATAACATTGATAGTAATAGTAAAAACGGTAGTAGCAATAGTACTAACAGTATTACTTGTAGTAGTGCTAGTAAATAGGAGAATAAATTGTAAGCGTAGTAGTATAAGAGAGATTAAGTGACAGTTGTAGTAGTCATAGTCTTCATATCAACAGATATAAGTGACTTTAAAAATGCTAATCAGTTTAACTTACAAATGTAATTAAACTGGCTGTTGTAACATTTCAAGCTAATTGAATACCAAAAAGTATCTAAACAGAACAATAATTGTGTATATTTTATTCTGTTCATTCATTATTTGAAGTTAACACTCCAAATCAGTTTTACAGTGTAGTAATAAGTGATCACATATTAGTATATAGTATTACTAGCAGAAGTAACAACTGATGTAGCAATAACAGAAGTAGCAACAGCATTAGTATTAGTAGTAATAATAGTTGTATTAACATTATTAGTAGTAACAATAATAGTAATAGCAGTATTAGTAGTATTTAAAGCAGTGTCTGTGATAGTAGCAGTAATATTACTAGCATGGATAGGATTAAAAGTCTTAATAACATTGTTTGTTGCTTTAGCAGTAGTCCTGGTTATAAGAGCAGTAACATTTTATTTGCCATGAAACAAGTTGGGCAGGTAGACAGGTGGTCAACATGTTAAATGTGTTATGCAACATTTTATCTTAGATGTTTTAGATAGCTATAGCTCAGCATTGTGGATGATCAGATGACTTTATGACACACTGTTGTCAGAGGAGCTTAACCTAGTAATTTTCCCAGAGCTGTGGTCTGGGCAGTTGTAATTTATTCATGGTTTACGCCATTGGCCTGCATGTTTGGGCTTGACTCCAGTGACATCATCATGACTATCTACATTTACCCTGTAAACAATTGATTTAGCTGTTCTACCTAGAAGCTTGAAATGTTGCCTTAAGATATGTTCAGTGGTTTCACTGAAACTTCAATAGGAAGTGAGCAGCAACATCTTCCCAGTTTGCCACAGTACATGAAGAACACTGGCAAATCTAAGTGGAGCAAAGTGATGATAACAGAAAATGTAAATAAACTGCTACAGTGAAGGTCACAACTGTGAAATACTGACTGTGCAAAAGTCTTAGGCACCTAAGCACATTGATCAGGGCAATAAGAGTGGTTTTGCATGTAAAACCACCATATATCTGAATTGATACAATGAACATAAATATAGTGAAAAGTAAAAAGAATTGCTCGCTTTGAAAAAAGTAGTTGATATCTTGTTGAGATTTCTCCCCCAGGAATGACATGGGTTTGTTAAATTCTTAAGTTATTAGCACACTTAATTTAACTGAAAGAAGTATGGATTAGCCAAACCAAGTATGTTACTATAAAAAATACTGCTGCCTCGAGGAGACATCTGGAAATGGTTAAACACACTGACATATCTAAAATCATTACTTAATTTATTAAAGTTATTTATATTTGTTCTATTATTAGTGTTTTTCTAAGCAAGTAAGCAGTTAAATAAAGTTTTTTTAATCTAATTTTCACATGTGCCAAAACTTTTGCACGATACATATCAGAAGACAAACAACTTGTTTTTCCAATACAAAGTTCAGCTTCACTGCACCATATTAAAACCTTGATTTCTTTCCAGTTTCTCAGTTATATCAAAACACAAGTCTTAAATTATCCACTTAGGGCTTATATTGCACTGTATTAAACTGATATAACTGAAGTTGTACAGGAACTATGTAACTTGTCACTATGTAAATAAGAACGTGTTGTCTGTCAAAAGTTTACATGATAAGATATGCAAATTTTTCCCTCGTGCTAAGCTTTTCAGACATTTTGTAAGTTGCCTCCATTATAGAACCCAAATTGCATCACTATGATTGATCTTAAGGGGCTAAAAATTGTTATACCTATTAAAGCCCTAAAGGGTAAAATGTGAAAAAAAATTTGAAGTGTGTTCCTGAGTATGTTCCATTTTATTTATTTTTTCTGCCTGTATAACACACCAAAAACTGCCAAAAACTATTTCTGCAATTTCTGCCATCAAAAACGTAAAAAAAAATCTCACTATTTTTTTTCAACCACTGATTTGTGCCAGACAGATATCATGCCAGCTGTGACCACAAGGGGGGTGGCTAATTTTTTTTCCTCTTACCCTCTGTGAACTAGGTGAACTCTGGGAGCTCTGGAAGAAAATGTTAGCTTATTGAGATTGACAGTTGAAGATTATGTATGAAAGTTACATGCTAGAGTTTGGTTTCAGTTTAGATAGATAGATAGATAGATAGATAGATAGATAGATAGATCCTGAAGTTATGAAGGTTTTTTGTCCACAGTTAGGCTTGTTTCTTTTAAGGTTCCTGTATGTCCATGTATGTTCTTCTACTCTGTTTCACAGAAAGAGACACAGGCCTTGAGCAAGTTCGTACCCCAGCAGACACCATGCTGTTTCTTGTGCTTTGCTGTTTCTGGCTCACACCGGCTGGCTTTGGTTTAGAGTTTCGTTATCACAACTCAGCTGAGGTGGAGCAGTACCTGAGAGAGGTCAGCAGGAACTACTCCAGCTTCACGCATCTGCACAGCATAGGCCGCTCTGTAGAAGGTAAGTGGATGAAGATATAGGCTTCATTTTCAGCAGCACCTGAATCAGTCTTGGATCTACTGCTGTAGCATTTACCCCATTAAACACTGGGCACATTATTCAGTTCAAAACTTCGCTATGTAAGTTTTTTTGGTAGAATTGAAAGAAGTAGTCAGAGTAAAAAAACAAACTAAAATATGGAATGTGAGTGCTGTTGCAGGTCACAATGTAAAGCCTGAAATAGTATTTTTGAAAGCCAGAGGTGTTGGATCAGATTCCGTGGGAGTTTATCATATCTCGTCATGCGCCTGTACGCATCCATTTACATCTCAAATGTAAAATCAACATTACACTGATGAAGATATAAAAGTAGTGCTTGCAATCGTCACATTCATTTGATCGGGGAAGGGGTCTGAAGCTCAAGTTTTGTTACAAAATGTGCTATTTCCACCAGAGTGGTCTCCAAATCCCCAAATTTTATATGGTGTAGCTTTAAGCTTAATAAATACTGTTCATATTTGAAGATACTATAAGCAACTAAATAACTGTAGTACTAGTTGTACTATAAACTATATACAATAGATATCTATGCCCCCCCCAACGTTCTTGTAGTTTAAAGGGTTAATTAATGTGTTTTTCATTGGATCACAATTTTCTGTGAGATTTTTTTGTTTTTAGCCTTAAAACCATCTTCCTACCCTTAGCTTTTGTGTGTCATATTTTAACTTCTTCAGTGTTGACTTCCAGCTGGGTTTAAATGATCACTGCAGGTGCTAATTTAACACTGTTGGTGTTAATGTAAAACTCTAGATGCTTTACTTTAACTGTAGATGTTCATACAACACTATGAGTGTTAATACTGTAGGTTTGAATGTGGCACTATGGCCGTTTGCTGTGTATCTGTGTCCATGCACAGATAGACCCAAGGGGGCTTTTCCCGTCAGACTGTAGAAGTGCTCTATTGGTCAGTGTGTATTTTATGTTGCCTCTGCTATTGTTCAAGATCCATTGCTGTGAGGCATAGTGAACTCAGCTTTGCCCTGGGACTAGAGCTAGTGGGTTTCATTGCTCTTGGAGCTGTCTAGATTTTCAGTCAACTCTGACTTGTCACACTCGCACGGATAACCACAGTGTTGGAAATCCTGCCAAAAATACCCAATAATGTATCTTTAAGAAGGCATCACATTGCATAATGTGGTTTTGAACAACAGCCAAGCAATGTTGACAGAAAAGAACGCTAATAAAACCAATATGTCAAATAGTTGGGTAGTGTTTGTTGGTTGCTGGTTGATTAATGCCATAGCTATATACACAGCAGACCAGGGTTCAGTTGCCCACTTTACCAGAAGCGCCAATGCTTTAGGCCATTTTGGGAAATACTCGTAACTCCACGCCCATGCGTAGACATTTTTGAGGAAGGGGCTCTAAAGGAAAAAGAAAACATGGTCTTAATTTAATTTACCGCATATGGCAATCACTCTTATCAAGACACAGTGTGATCATGTTTCAAACCAAACATAGTGTGAAGAGTTTTTCCAAAGGCCGACAAAAATACTAATGTTACAGTCTGTGAGTAGATTTGAACCCTGGTTGCCAGCATGTGAAGCCACAGTGTTACTCACTATGCTATTTGATCACTACATATGTTTGATTATAACTCTATTTAAGAGCTCAAAGGATCCTTGTATACATCTGCGTTTTTTGGTGTAGCAATTAAAACTCCTTACTGCTGTGTGTTTGGTTATTATTCAGAATAACCACTTTATGAAACATTACACACTCTTAGAAATGATCAGTGTTTCATGAGTGGCATGTCTACGACAGATTAGAGGTAAAATCACCAGGGGTGGTCGGTTCTGCACAAAACAATGAATCTTGTAGAACCAAAGCAGACCCACAAACTCTATTTCCGGGGCAATGCTGAGCCTAACCTATACTACCTATACTGAAACAGATCTTAACAATGACAGAGGCAATTTAAAAAGGGTTATTATACACACCAACTAAGAGGGCACTTATACAGTCTCTGGGCAACGTTGCCTCAACGTTCTACACCTTCTGGATATGTACTACCCAACATACCTACCATATATGTAGTTCTGTGCCAAGTACTACTCCACACGGAAGCCTTTCATTTACTGCTCATAGAATTTCACATGTAGGTGATGAGATTTTCTTGTCTGCCCCTCGTCTCTCGTTCTCTTTTACCCACTTACTCTGCCTCTCTCTCTTTCCTTCCCCATTCCTCTTCTGGCTTACACAACACTGCCTCTCTCTTCTTCTATCTCTCTCTTTCTCATACAATACTCCCTCTCTTTCTTACTTTCTCTCCCTTTCATTCTCTCTCTGTTTCTCTGTCTCTCCTTCTCTCCTTCTCTGTTTCTCTCTTTCTCTTCTGCACCACAGTGTCTCTCTCCCCCACTCACTCTCTCTCTGTCCCCCACTCACTCTCTCTCTGTCCCCCACTCACTATCTCTCTCTCTCTTTCTCTCTCCCACACACACACACACAAAACACTCCCTCTTTCTCTTTTACTCACAAAACTTTCTCTTTCTCTCTCTCTGTCTCTGTTTCTCACTCACTCTCCATTCTCACTCTCTAGCTCTTTCTAGCACTTTCACTCACTGTCTCTCACTCTCTCTCTCTCTCTCTCTCTCTCTCTCTCTCTCTCTCTCTCTCTCTCTCTCTCTCTTTCTCTCTCTCTCTCTCTCTAATATGTGACCGAGTACCACTCCGCATACCGGAACCCCATGTGGGACTGGTGATCTCTTCTCTGTTTCTTTTCCTCAGCTGCAGCTGCGAACGTGCTAGAAATCTGCACTCAGCACCCCAAAGACCTTTCCATCAAGTGCTGAGCTCAGGGCTTCCAGAGACTGACTTTCTGATTGTCAGAAAGTTACATGTAATAAATCTGGCTTTATGTGGGGTGAATTTGGGAATTTGCTGGGCTGAGAGACTAAGTTCAGATCAATCACAGTTTGCCATTATACATACATTTAGTTGAATTCATACATATTTACAGTAGCAGTGTAACAAAGCGTAGTGAATCAAATAAATGTTCAAAAAAGTGCTGTAAACCGCATTAAGTACAAGACATTGATTATGCAACCTTATATACAAGAAAAGACTATAAGTAGCATAATGTTAGAAACTATAGCATAGAAGCTAGAGAATACTTTCAGCAGAGTACATTTATTTATAATGTAAGAGAAACCACAGAAACGTGTAAAATGCATTTCTGCTTTAAATTCCATAGATGTACTCACTTGACCTAAACCATCTCTTCAAATGGATTAGAATGTGGGAAAAGATGGTAGTGATTATAAATAACAGTAGTATAAGGTAATAAACAAAATACAATTGTGGCCTGTTAGATGCAATATAATGTTCATTTCGCTATATTGTGCCTAAGAGGCCACAAACAGATGCAATACATCTACACTGAAACCATGACTAGAAGTTGCTTGACTGACTGTATCCTGTACTCACATCAGTCTCTGCTGGTTTCTCTCACAAACAACCTGTTTTTTACCACAGAGTGAGTCACAGCCGAATCACCACAACACTAAGCCCCCGGTCGCTCATCACACCACCATTATGCTAAACTCATGACTCCACGTTTTCAGATTGTCATGAGAAACCTCAAACTGTGTTTCCTCTGTTCTCCTTTGCTATAATGATGAACTGAAATAGAAAGACAATGAGGTGTGGATAATGACTGCAGTGGTCATGACAAAATCATAAAGTTCTTTATCCTAATATAGTCTCTGTTATGTTGGATTATATAAAGCTAAGCTAAAGCAGCCTAATTGCTATCTGCTAGATACAGCCAGCTAATAGAAAGCTAGCCTTTCTTTCATTTATTCTTTCTGTAAGAAAATTTTATATGAGAATGTACATTTCATTGGGTCTGTGTTTTGTGTACATTTGCTAAATGATGTTTACAGTATTTGCTACAAAAAGACTCTATTTAGTTCTCATACTGTACTTGTATTCTCTGGCTGAATACTTTAGCTTACACTGAATTCACAACAAATGTGACACGTCAACATCACATAAGAATAGCACATGTGGAGCACATGCGTCCGAGTGTCCAATCAACACGGCCTCTGACTCATCTCCATCTCTGTGCAAACACTTAAAGTGGGAATATCAGCTGTTTTTTCTCCTTTTCTTTTTTTTCATTAAAATAGTTCCATAGCACCTTTAAAGACTGGCAGCAGATCTTTTTTTATTGTGATGAACTTTGTACCACTGTTCTTGTCAGATAAAGGCCTCATCATAACAGTAGCTTCCACACACTGTTAGTACAGCGCAGGAGCTGCTCAGTAGAACTAAGCCAAAGAGATCATCACATTTTAGTACTTTATTATCTTAAATATAGTTTAGAACGTTACAGAAAGAGGAAGTACGTGATGTGACTTGCTCAGCTTCAAAAAGACTCTGCATGTAAAAACCCAGTCGGTAGGAAGGGCTTGTGCAGATGATATAGATCTGTTCTGTCAGAAAGACGGCTTAAAGTGTTTCAGGAACACATCTGCTGTGAGTTGGAGTAACTATAGGGGGTGTAAAAAATATAGGAAACACCACATTAGATACTCATATTTATTGGCCATTTTATCAGAAACACTCAGGTTTACACTTACAGACTGAAACCAATTTGTTGAAGCTCAACATATCAGTTGCCCTCTTTCCCGTTTGTCAGCCAGATATTATTTGGGCAGTGGGTCATTCTCAGCTCTGCAGCAACATAGACATGGTCATGGTAGTGTGTGTGGTGTTGCATGAGTAACAGACACTGACATGTCACTCAGGCACATCAGGTACAGCAGGGTTGCTTTGGGGTTTTAAACGCTGTGTACACTTACTATCCACCTCATCAGACACACTTATCTCACACTTACCTTACACCTTTATGTGTACAGTTAGAGACTGTAGTGCATCTTTTTCCACACACAATCTGCATCAGCCATCCTCTAGCCCTTCATCAATGGTCAGTTTTTGACCACAGAGCTACTCTT